TTTTTATCTTCTTTATTTGGTGGTCAGGTATTTTCTTCAATATAAATGTGATGTACACTGTTTGGTTTACTTTGTTTTCTCTGCTCTGTGGGCTAAAGATAAATTCCCAATAAATGAGCGGAATAGTACAAATTAATTATGTGGAACACGTACCCACTCCTTCCCTGCTGGCATCTTCCTAATCTGATCCTTAATACTTGTTGGGCCATGATTGCATTTATGGGCTGAGAACAAAATTTGTTTGGGCCCACATCTGAAACCAGATAAAGTATACTATAAACTACTGTAAAGATGTTATTGAATAATTGATACCTTGATGGCTTGATTTATAAAAATTAGCAGAAAATCCGGTTGAATACATTTAAAAAACAATGATATATTTTACTGCATCATCAATCTATTCCTTTTGTAGTATATAATTTGCAAAATTTTATGTTTATCAGATTTATTACTTTTCTTAGATGTATACAACTTTCTCACTTAACCATGATGATAGGTAATACATATATTTGAGTAAATTATGAGACCAAAAATTATAGAATAAGGATACAAATAAGAATCTATACTTATATAAATATTAGTCATTCACTTAATGAAAACGTAGAAAATTTAACGACATTTATGTAAAGTTATGTATAGAGAATTTGACGAAAATGAATAGAGACTTCCTTGATTGACGATATTTCTTTTCAAAAGTATGTTTTACATTCCATAAATCATTTTTGTAATGATTTTCACTTATTCATAAAAATTTTGAAGTTCAAAATATTAAGGGGGGTCATCGCCTTAGCCGTAGTTTCGTTCGTACATTTTAAAACTTTTTAGGCTTAAACAAAAATAGTTTGAAACGCTTCTTTTCATGCAAAATCCAAAAATTCATGGTTTCAATTCCCTACAAAGCCTCTTGCTACTAATTAGAACTGATCCAAACAAAAATTCATAGAACATTGAATCTAAATTTTAAAAAACTATACAAATAAAAATCAATAATATTTGACAGGGTTTTTTTCTTCCAAATATACATAACTGTTTCAAAATCGAACAGATCTCTAAGTTTTTAATTCTAATAAACTCTAAGAAAATAAATCTCAAAGTTCTGAGTAAAAACATTTGGAGATAAGGATGGATACTTTACATAATTAAGTTCAAAGAATTACATCAAAAGGCATATTTAGATTTTACAGAATCATCATATTATACGAACAATTCTATTTAACATATATAGAAGATTGTACAGATATGTAACAATATGTACGGAAAATAACATGCATTTTTTACATATGTGTATATAAATACACACATAAAGCAAATAAAACTTTACTTAAAAATTCCAACTGAGCAGAGGTCATGGATTATTATCTGTATAATGTTATCTTCTCAGTTTTTGTCACATTTTCTATCATTCTGAATATTGTGTTTCTCATAAAAAGCGTTGTAGACCGTTTTCTTAGTGGTCGTAAGCAGCTGCCTCCACGCCCACGGGGATTTCCGATCATTGGGAACTTAGTAGGAATGCTCAAGAACCGACCAACCTCCAAATGGATAGTTCGTGTAATGAACGATATGAAGACGGATATAGCTTGCTTCCGGTTTGGTCGTGTCCACGTCATTGTCATAACGTCCGATGTGATTGCCCGAGAAGTCGTTCGAGAGAAAGACGCAGTTTTTGCGGACAGGCCAGACTCTTACTCTGCCGAGTACATTAGTGGCGGGTAATTTTGAATTTTATAACAAAGCTGAAATGGTCACTCAAAAATTAGTCCAAATTACAAAGCAATTCCTAGAAAAGCTTATAGTTAGCTTGATTCAACAGATATATTATTATTTAAATATAAGGAAAATTCCATAAAAATATACTAACTTTTTTTTTCCATATAAATTAGAAAAATACACTAACTCAAAAGTTCTTCCTATTAAATTAGAAAAAATCTCAATTCTAAATAATCTCCAAATATGAAACTCTATTTCCATAACCACTAAAATAGAAGAAAAATGAATCTTTTTAATTTGGTTAACGTATATGTTACAAACTGAGTATACGGTTCAAAGATTGAGTATTAAAACAAAAAATTTGTTTATGGTACGCAAAAAAATTGTGTATTTTTATGGGAAAAAAAATGTTTGTGTATTTTTATGGAATTTTCCCATAAACAAATTTGGAAAAATTGTAGGTTTACAAAGCTAACAAACGCTATCATTTTCGTCTAATCTTCCCAATTTATGGTTTCTTGTCAGTTGAGGGTAAATTTTTCGTCCGGAAAATTTTTTAGCGAGATAACTATTTTTGAAATGGCGGCAAGTGATTAAACCTTTAATAGTTTCTTAAATAATGCATAAATTGGATCCACCCATGTGCATAAACGTTACAAAACTGGCAGATACAATGGGGTAGTGTTCGACGAGTACGGAGAGAGGCAAAAGAGGATGAAGAAAGTGATGTCGTCAGAGTTAATGTCTACAAAGGCTTTAAACTTGTTACTCAAAGTTAGAAACTTAGAATCCGACAACCTCCTCGCCTATGTTCATAACCTATACAAGAAAGATGAGTCCAAGACAAAAAATGGCGTCTTAGTGAATGTGAGGGATATCGTGTGCAATCACACACACAATGTGAAGATGAGACTTTTGTTTGGTCGGAGACATTTCAAGGAGACGACGATGGACGGGAGTCTCGGACTTATGGAGAAAGAACATTTTGACGCCATATTCAAGGCTCTTGATTGTTTCTTTAGCTTTTACGTAGCCGATTATTACCCTTTCTTAAGAGGATGGAATCTCCAGGGAGAGGAGATTGAGTTAAGAGAAGCCGTTGATGTTATTGCTAGGTACAATAAGATGATTATCGATGAGAAGATAGAGTTGTGGAGGGGGAAGAATAAAAACTGCTATCGTACGGAGAAGAAGAATGATGTTTCTGTGATCAAGGATTGGCTCGACATTCTCTTCACTCTTAAAGATGAGAATGGGAAGCCGTTGCTTACCCCACAAGAAATCACACATCTCTCTGTGGTTCGTGATAGAAGTATACTCATAATTACCAACAAATTATATATATATTTTGATAAGTACTTATGGTTTGTTTTTGTTTTTGGCAGGATCTTGATGTAGTAGGGATTGATAATGCAGTGAATGTAATAGAGTGGACACTTGCGGAAATGTTGAACCAGAGAGAGATTCTAGAAAAAGCGGTGGAAGAGATCGATATGGTTGTCGGAAAAGATAGACTTGTTCAAGAATCCGACGTACCAAATCTAAACTACGTCAAAGCTTGTTGCAGAGAGACCCTGAGACTTCACCCAACCAATCCTTTCCTCGTCCCTCACATGGCACGTCATGACACAACTCTAGCTGGTTATTTCATCCCAAAAGGTATCTCATTTTTCTTTTAGTTTGTATCTTTTTTCTTTATACCCCAAAATTTATGCATTTGGTTAGAGGCGTATTTGACTTCAACTTCTTAAATATATTCAAAATCAGGAATTCTAATTTCTTTGTGCTTGTGTCTAATGCTATGAGCGATTAAGTAATATTTTCATATTAGAGTATCTAGAATATTTGTTCCTTTATCAAATTGGACAGAAAATAAATAGATTATGACATACAAATCTTTCAATTAATTATTTTATTTGGTTAATGAATTCAATATAAATGTTGATAGTTTGATGTCGATCACAGGCAGTCATATTCTAGTGAGTCGTCCTGGTGTTGGTCGAAACCCCAAGACATGGGATGAGCCACTCATCTACAGGCCTGAGCGCCATATAACCGGCAACGAAGTGATGTTGACTGAACCAGACTTACGACTTGTTTCATTTGGAACTGGTAGGCGTGGCTGCGTTGGAGCGAAGCTTGGAACCTCCATGATTGTTACGTTGTTGGGTAGGCTTCTCCAAGGGTTCGACTGGACCATTCCTCCTGGTACGACGGACAAAGTCGAGCTAGTCGAGTCAAAAGAAAATTTGTTCATGGCTAATCCTTTGATGGCTTGTGTGAAGCCCAGATTAGATCCCAACATGTACCCAAAACTCTGGACCGGACCAGCTTGATCACACCGGTTAATAATTGTTATTGTTGTTGAGTTATGTTGGACTTAGTCGTCTAGACTTAGTCATAAGCTGTTAGAATAAGGTTCCGCTGCTAGAAAGTAGCTTAAGTTTGTTAAAGACCTCCGACAATGTAGGAGGCAGTTTCTCTGTATTCGACTATTTAAGGTCATCTAAGCAATAAGAACAAATGCACTTTTGGAGTTTCATCATTCGGTTCTGTTTCTCTGTTATAACAATTGTCATGTATGAATCAAATTTGAATTAGTCTTTGAGATTTTATCGTTGTTTCATTGGTCTGGAACTGAACTTGACAAAATTAAATGGCATGTTTTAAAATATAGAAGTAAAGGAGGATAGGGAATAAATTTTGTGATATTTTGTAATAAATTTAAACCAATGAGTATTTTCTTTAAGTTAAATTATTTTGTTTATATTTTCAAAAGAATTAACTTAAAATTTTCGGTTTAAATTTATTTTCTTTTTGGTTAGTTTAGAATTTGTATTATTCTCAGTAAAGGTATCTGTAAAATAAAAAGATTTTAGTTATATACTTTATATCTAAACACTCATCACAGTTTTCCAACGGGTTTGATTTACCTGGATTGAGTATCTTCAGTGGAAATGTAGAGACAGTTTTAGCCTCAGAGAAAAGTGAAAAAGAAAAAGGAGCTTGACGAAAAGTTTAAGAGGAATATTTATAGCCCATAAAAGGCCCAGCCCAGTATTGTTCCGCCGTTTAATTTGGGTAAAGTAAGCTTGAAGAAAAGAAACGGGTGGAGTGCAAAAATGGAGAAATCAACTTGAAAGTTGAGATAGCACAAGAGCATCTGATTCCATCTTGATCACAAAGTCATTCTTTGTCTAATTCCATGGTCATCACAAAGTCATTCTTTTTTTTTTTTTTATAAATGGTATATTTATATCAATCTCTCAGTATCTTCAGTGTATAATATATAGTTTCATTTTTTTCTGGGTTTCGGTACTCATGTGGGTTCAGTAAATAAAAATGTTTATAAGTCCCCATCTGGCCGCGTCAAAAATACTAGATAACAATTAGTGGTTGGCATAGAAAAGTAATGATTGTTGCCGCGTAGAATGAAAATAATAAATTAATTAAGAACAGTGAAGCAATAAATGTTTTTATTGGTGTCTTGAATAGTACTAGTCTTCTTAAATATTTCAGCAAAAAAAAAAAAGATTCTATCCATTATCAAGGAAAAAAAAATCTGAATTCGAATTCGAGGAAGAAGAAAGGATATGACTATGGGGAATTTCTTAAAGAGATTTGGAAGTGGAAAAAGCAGAAGCAGAAGCAGTAGAAGTATGAGTCTGGGAACAACGTCGTCTCAATCTCATGAACCATCTCCGTCGGCGGATCCTCCAGTCTCCCTTGCCGATAAGATCAACGCCGCCAAGAAGAAGTACGCTCTCATCCCTGACCGCTTCTCTTCCCTCGACCAGGTTCATTTTTTTTTTTTGTTTCTTGTGTTGACCTGACTTTTGGTTTCTCTACTTCCATGTTCTTTGAGTTCTTGAAAGTCTTAAGTATAAGAATATGATCATTATTTTTTAAAAATCTTGGTACACTTTTTAGTTTTAAAAAAGTTATGTAAAAAATGTCTACAAAAGAATTAGAGATGAAGAATTGTTATTGAGTGTTAGTGAATGGTGTTTTAAAAGGTATCAAAAGCTCTAAGAGAAGCTGGTCTTGAATCATCCAATCTCATTCTCGGAGTTGATTTCACAAAGAGCAACGAGTGGACTGGTAACTTCAATATATACTACAACTTATTGGTAAATTCACATATATTTTGAATGTAAAAAAAGAAAAGTGGTTATCGTTCTGTTTCAGGGAAAACTTCTTTCGATGGAAAATGTCTGCACGCGCTCGGCGAAACTCCGAATCCATATGAAAAGGCGATTTTTGTAATCGGCCAAACGTTGGCTCCTTTCGACGAAGATAATCTCATCCCTTGTTTCGGCTTTGGCGATTGTGAGTTTTTTTAGTTTGTCCCAAATGTATATCATCTTTTCAATCTCTGTTTCTAATAATACTCTCTGTTTTCTTGCATTAACCAGCAACAACTCACGACGAGGAAGTGTTCGCTTTCCATAGCGACAATTCTCCATGTCATGGCTTCGAAGAGGTCTTAGCATGTTACAGGAGAATTGCACCCAACTTACGTCTATCAGGTCTCTCTTTGAAAATCTAAATATACCTTTCATAGCTTTATACCAAAATTACAACCTTCCATTTTCAAAAGGGCCAACGTCGTATGGACCGCTCATCGATGCTGCGGTTGACATTGTCGAGAAGAACAACGGACAATTCCATGTTCTGGTGATCGTCGCAGATGGACAGGTAAAGTTAAAAGCATTTAAGAGAAAAAAAAAAAAAACTGAACAAAGTATGATACCAAAACTTAAAAGGTTACCTTTGGAATGCTAAGGTAACGAGAGGTACGGATATGGCCGAGGGAGAACTCAGTCAACAAGAGAAAACAACCATCGACGCGATTGTAAATGCAAGGTAAAACAAATGCGGATTCAGTGTGTCCATTTTTTGCAACTCGATTTTGCGGAATCTAAACCGTCCATTTTTGAAAATCCTTTTTATCGACAGCTCGTATGCTTTGTCGATTGTTTTAGTCGGTGTTGGAGACGGGCCATGGGAAGACATGAGGAAGTTTGATGACAAGATCCCTAAGCGTGAATTCGACAACTTTCAGGTATCTTCCCAGTTTCTTTGTTATTTTCCATCTATATCCTCTGCTGAGTGTTTCCTTGATCTTGATCTGCTATCTGCATAGTTTGTGAATTTCACAGAGATTATGACCAGAAACTCACCAGAGTCTGCCAAAGAAACTGCCTTTGCTCTTGCTGCTCTAATGGAGATTCCCTTTCAGTATCAAGCAGCCATCGAACTCCGCTTACTCGGGTACTTCCATAAGTTCTCAACATAACAGAACTATTGTTTTTCTGCTTTTTTTTTGTTTGTCTAATTGATTCTGCTTGCCTCTGTGCAATTCTGCACCCGTCTTTAAAGGAAACAGACGGGCACAGCTAAGACAATAGTTCCGAGGCCACCACCAACTCCGTACACGCCTCCAACTAATGCTGAACTACCATCAACTGCATCACCTGAACAAACCCAGGTCTCATAATTTGTATACTATACTATTTTTCTGCCTTGTCGAATCAACTCCAATCTCATATGGTTTTCCGTTTAACAGAGTTGCCCGATTTGTCTGACTAACCGAAAAGACGTGGCTTTCAGCTGTGGCCACATGGTAAGTTTCACTGATTGCTTTTAGTTTACTCAAGCCCATTCATGAATTAACAACAACCAGTTTTAACTTACCTTTGCAATTTCCTTTTGTAGACTTGTGGAGATTGCGGTTCCAAAATATCAAATTGCCCGATCTGCCGAGTACGGATCACGAGCCGGCTTAGGCTTTACACGTGATCAATGCCCACAAAACTTTTTCCTGACCACGGCTTTACACGTGATCAATGCCGACATGCCGACAAACTTTATTTCTGCACATAACAAAACGCTTGCATATACTATCCTTCTCCTTTGTAGAATCTACAGTTTGGTTTGCCAAGTGTTTCTGACAATGTTCCACAATCAGTATGTACCATGTAATTCCGTATCTACTATAAAACATTAACTTTGCAAACAAGAATGAAGAAGCAATGACAAAACATGGGTTTTACAGTTTTATTCATCAAAGCAAAATGTTTGAGGTGACTGAAGATGCAGCAGTTTGCATAGCACAAAAGCTGTGTCGCTAAATGCCGGTTCCAAAAAAAAAAATATTACGGCCAGTAAACATGCCATTTTTGCATCGACAAGAGATTCGAGTGAGAGGCATCCACTAACACTGACTCTTAAAAGAAATCATCCTTTACTGAGCTTTGGTTGTCACCGTGTCATCTGGCTTTGGCACTGGTTGGATTCTTTGATAAGGCTTCCTGGTAAGAGTCTCTCCCCTAAGAGCAGCCACGTATCTGTCATTTGTGTCCTGCTTCTGTTTCAACTCACCGAGATACTCAGCTAGCCTCTCTTGGTTTACTTTACCCATCATCTGACCATAAGATGCAGAAAGATGTTCACCAGCAGAAGATTAAAAAAAAACCGAAATACGCGGTTCATGTTTAACAATCAGCCTAAGGTTAACATACGGCTGTGATCAATAAACATCAATTGAATCAACATTGTGAAGCAGAGCAAGAACTCAGATACATAAAATTCCTAGTTAACACAGAAAAATCTGCAAATGCTCAACTCTATAATGCCCCTCAACAAATCTAGGTACCCACACAATCCATATGAGCAGATAAGAAATTATTTCAAATTCTCACTTAACACAATCTTGAGATACAAGAATCATTAAGATGTTCTACTCATCCTCCAAGAAAAGTTCCACACACGAAGACAGCTCTAGAGACTGTGTATGAACAATTCTAGCTTTCCGATTAGCAGAAGAAAAGCAACAACATGTTTCTATCATCAAACATCTATCATGATCCCTAGATGAAGAGAGAAACATACGAGGGTATCGGGGCGAGCAGATTTACGGAGGCGGGCTTCGAGCTCAGGGTTACTGGAATTGGTGACCTGCATAACTCCATAGCCAATAACGCCAGGAATCACACCACATAGAGCAGCGAACGTGAAGAAGAAGGATCTCGAATCTCGCGTCTTCATCACTAGCCATCTCCATGTATTGCTCTTCTCATACATGAACGACATCTCTCTCTCCCCCTTCGAGTTCTCTCACCAGGGGGGTTTCTAGGGTTCATGATTTCACTTACAGGTCCGCAATTTTGCGTTAATTGCAAAGAACTCCGATTTTCTTATATATTTACTTTTCGGTCCCAAATTATTATTAGGTTTCGGTTTTGCACCCCGACTAATTTCTGTATTATGTTTAAGCCCCTATAGTTTGTTTGATTAGGTCAGAAACACCCTATAGTTTTTAGTTTACGAAATTGGTCATTTTTACTAGCATGATCTGTAATATGTTTACTTGTTTGCAAAACATTCTCGCTTCATCACAAAAAAAATACATTCCCATAATTACGAAAGATAAGAAATATAGAGAAATTGTGTTATGGACTTATGATGGTGTTTAATCTGTTGATTGACCATATAATAACAAATTCATTAGTAAACTTTTTGGGTAAAATTTCTGATGACAGTCAACTTAATCCGTTTTCCAAGGGTTAAAATAGAGGCATAGAGTAATTGAAGGACGGTCAAGTAATTGTAAACACCTATCAACTGATTCCAACCAAATGTAAACTAATTAGTTTTTTTTTTTATATTTCTAAATTACTTCTGAAATTATATATTCTTGATTTAGAAAGCATTTTCAGTTTCTTTCTTTAACATAACGTTTCTTTTTCTTAAGCTTATCCTCACCATCACGCTTGAAGAATGCTCATGATCATCGAATCAAGAAGAAGAAGATGGATCCAAAGTTGTTGTTTTGCTTACCTCAAGGAGATGAACTCTTTAATCCCCTTAATACCATGTTTATTCAAATGGCTTGCATTCTCGTCTTCTCTCAATTGTTCTATCTCCTTCTTAAACCCTGTGGCCAAGCTGGTCCCGTTGCCCAGATTCTTGTAAGGATATCTCTTTCTTGCGTTACAATAATCACCCGTTTTTTTTGGTTGTGGAGAATGTCTAACAAATTTTTGTTTTGTTATCTATATTGGATTTTTAGGCTGGGATTGTGTTGAGTCCTGTTCTGCTCTCAAGAATATCTAAAGTTAAGGAATTTTTCCTCCAGAAAAACGCAGCAGATTATTACTCTTTCTTCTCGTTCGCTCTACGGACATCTTTCATGTTCTTGATTGGTCTTGAAGTGGATCTACATTTCATGAGAAGGAATTTCAAGAAAGCTGCCGTGATAACCTTGAGCTCATTCTTGGTTTGCGCCCTCCTCAGTTTCGCTTCCTTAATGTTATTCATCCCTTTGTTTGGGATCAAAGAAGACTACTTTACGTTTTTCTTGGTTCTTCTCGTTACCTTGACTAACACGGCATCTCCTGTCGTAGTCCGTTCAATCGCTGATTGGAAACTCAACACATCTGAGATCGGACGACTGACAATCTCATGTGCGTTGTTCATCGAATTATCAAACGTGGTTCTCTACACTGTAATCATCGCGTTCATCTCTGGATCTATGATAGGTACTCTCTTCCTCTTTCTTTTCGCAACCGGATCCCTAATCTTGATCAACAGTTTCTTAGCTCCATGGCTTCCAAAGAGGAACCCTAAAGAGAAGTACCTCTCAAAGGCTGAAACTCTAGTTTTCTTCATCTTCCTTCTCATCATCGGTATAACTATCGAATCCTACGATGTCAATTCCTCGGTTTCGGTTTTCACCATTGGAATAATGTTTCCACGACAAGGAAAGACTCACAGAACGTTGATTCAACGGCTTAGTTATCCGATCCACGAGTTTGTTCTTCCCGTTTACTTTGGTTACATTGGATTCAGATTCAGCATCATCGCGTTAACCAAACGATTTTACCTCGGTCTAGTTATTATAGTAATTGTAACCATAGTTGGGAAATTTATTGGTGTAATAAGCGCTTGTATGTACCTGAAGATCCCTAAGAAGTATTGGCTTTTCTTACCCACCATTCTCTCTGTTAAAGGCCATGTGGGTCTTCTTCTTCTAGACTCAAACTACTCCGAAAAGGTACGTTTACTTGAATCCTTTTTTATTCCGCCACTTTTTCACCATTCAGTCAGTCACATTAAGTCTTATTTAAATGCAGAGTGTTTTGTTCAAAAAAAAAAAAAAATGCAGAGTGTGTATTGCACACCCACAACAAAATAACAAAAAAATGTTACACATGTTTTACATATATAATAACAAAAACTATTGGTTCTTTTGTTCCCATTCTTTTTTTTTTTTTTTTGGTTTTAATGTGAAGATTGTTCCATTCTTTGTCTGAATATACCTGTAGAAATGGTGGACCACAACTATTCATGATATGATGGTGGCTGCTTTGGTGATCACGACGCTAGTAAGCGGTGTTCTGGCGTCGTTCTTGCTTAAAGCAAGAGAGAAGGACTTTGCTTACGAGAAGACTTCGCTTGAATCTCACAACACGAACGAGGAATTACGCGTTTTATCATCCGCCTATGGAGTCCGTCATGCTCGCGGTGCGATCTCTCTTGTCTCGGCCTTGAGCGGTTCTCGTGGAGCCTCTGATCCGTTCACACCTCTGCTTATGCACCTTGTACCCCTCCCCAAGAAACGAAAATCGGAATTGATGTATCATGAACACGACGAAGATGGAGGCAATGCGAATGGAGATGACGAATTTGGGACCAACGAAGGTTTAGAGATCAACGATTCGATTGATTCGTTTGCCAAAGACAGCAAAATCTTGATCCAACAAGTGAAACTCGTGACGCAGATGCTTAATATGCACGAAGAGATATGTAACGCAACAGAGGATCTTCGAGTTTCGATTGTATTTCTTCCGTTTCATAAACACCAGAGAATCGATGGGAAGACTACAAACGATGGGGAACTTTTCAGACAGATGAACCGTAATGTTCTAAGGCACGCTCCGTGTTCGATTGGTATTTTTGTGGACCGAAACATAACCGGATTTCAGCAGCCGCACGGGTTTGATTCTGTACAACACGTCGCAGCATTGTTCTTTGGTGGTCCGGATGATCGTGAGGCTCTTGCTCTGTGCAAGTGGCTCGCGAACAACACTCTGATTCATCTCACAGTTATACAGTTCGTATCCGAGGAATCAAAGGCAGAGACTCCTGTTGGAAATGCGATGACACGAGATAATAACGAGGTTTTCATGGAAGTTCTGGGAAGGAATCAAACTGAACAAGAAACAGATCGGAGCTTCTTAGAAGAATTCTATAACAGGTACCTTACTTAAGCCCTGTTTTTTTCACTACTCTGTTTTGTATATACTCTGTTTCTGAGAAGAGCTCTGTTTCCCGCCGCTACTCTGTTTCATTGTCTTTGGTCTGAGATAAGGACTCTGTAATTCACAGAGTTCAGAATTGAGTTTCCATCAAAGAAACTACTTTTGACATTATTTTCTACTGTGCAACAGATTTGTAACGACGGGACAAGTGGGGTTCATAGAGAAGCTTGTGAGCAATGGACCGCACACGCTGACGATTCTAAGAGAGATTGGAGAGATGTATTCACTGTTTGTGGTCGGAAAGAGCAGAGGAGATTGCCCTATGACGGTGAGAATGAAAGATTGGGAAGAGTGTCCGGAGCTCGGAACTGTCGGTGATTTCTTGGCTTCGTCTTTAGATGTAAATGCGTCAGTATTAGTAGTTCAAAGACAAAGACATTCACATGATAGCTTTATAGATGATTAGCAAACGTTTCCTAGTTTATGCAGATTTTATTACAAAAATCTTAAACAAGAAAACGAAATGGTTCAGTTTATCAAGAATTCAAGACATGCCTTTGTAGGTTTCACATATTAATTACTCGGAAAATCAACATATGGCTTGATTAACCGGAGCTTAACGGTAAACTGGAAGTAAATGGTTCTGTTCAGTGAAAAATTTATACGAAAGTTTAATAAAAGAACCGAGGTTTTTCAAAAACTCTGTTTTCATCAACTTTGGCTAGTCTTCAAGGCTTGGTCTCTTTGCTCTTGTTCTTCCATTGTATCACAAAGACTTGACCCTTTGGTCTCAGGAAGAAGCAGCGCGAATAACCCGAGACCCGACATTGCAAATCCGAAAACCGCGAAAGAGAGTGACGGAATATTTCTTCCAAGCGAAGCAATGAGTGGGCAACAAGCTCCTCCAACCACAAGCGCTTGTCTAAGCATCATTGTTGCGCTATTCCTCACGCATGTAGGGAATAGCTCAACCATATAAACCGCCATTAAATTGAATCCAATTCTAGCGCAGAAGAAAGAACCGAGTTCGAGAGCGAAAGCGATTTTTGTTCTCCCGTAAAGGCTCATGGCGAAACAGAGCACTCCTGATGCTCCTCCAATTAAGCAATTTACAAGCACAGAGCTTCTCCTGCTGAATTTCTCGAGCAATATCGGTGTAACAACAAATGTTGGTAACTCCACCATGGCGTTTAGGGCTTCGCTCAAATAAATGTTCACTTTTATGTCTCTAACCGCTAATGGAACTCCATAATACGACATTCCCAACCCAAACATTATGATCATAACAAGTGTGACTCTTTGAAAAGCCCATTTTCTAATGAATAAGTCCTTGATGGAGTAGCTTGAAGTTTGGTCTAGTGTTTCTTTTGGAGGTAACCTAGAAGATACGGATTCCAAGTAACCTTTGTTTGCAGGTGAAATCCTTTTGAGCACTTCAATGGCTTCTTCGTTCTTACCTTCCAAATGGAGCCAACGCGGGGACTCTAGGGCAAAGAAATAGATGAAAATACTGTGGATTCCTGCAGGAACGGATGTGCATAGATAGAGAATTTTCCAGGAAGCGTGCCGGACAAGGTAAGCGATTCCAGACAGAGACATGAACCCTAACACAAACAGAGTAAACGGAATCATAGTAGCTCGTGGTCTCAATTTGGTGGGAACTCGCTCACTTATCAGAACTAACGCGTATGTCCCAGTCTGGGAACGGGCGAAACCGATCACGAATTTTAAGAAAGAGTAGATCCATATGTTGGAGGATAAGAAAATGGAGATTCCAGTGAGGGACATTGCAAAACTCGAGAAGAAAAGAAGTTGCTTCCGTCCCAAGGAACCGTCAGGGATCAGAGCCAAGACGACTCCTCCAACGATAGAACCCACATAAAAAGTTGAACTTGGTAGACTTCTGCGGAAGGAGCTTGAGCACTCGAGATCGAACTCTGAAATGACTGATTTACCCTTGAAACCACCGTCCCACTCCCAAGCTGACCGGGGAATCTTACAGATATCGGTCGTTGCCGGATTGCAGATCGTGTGGTCGAGACAGTGCCACGTGGGATATGCATCTGTGAAGACGGTGATGAATATCTGCTGTGCGTCAAAGGTTAGGGCGAGCCCAACGAGAACTATCTGTAAGAACTGCGAGAATCGGAAATCTGACAAGCTTTGTTCGAGGATCTTGTCGAAAGTCAGAGGCGAAGAACTGTCTTCATCTTCTTCAAGGTGGGCGGTCAACAATGGTGCCAACGAATCCACCATGGTTGCTTACTTCAATTGATCTAGTTTGAGGATGTGAGAATTATTACATCAAAATTAAAAACAAACAACTAGTAGTTTGCAAATATATAATGTGTGGTCAAGAGATCTGATCTTTAATGATCAGTGATTGAAATTTGTACTCTTTTTTTTGTTTGTCTTTTTGAACAAATTGCTTAAGATTTGTATCTGTATGGCCTTTTTTGTGTTAATTATGACCAATAATAATTGAAGGCAGGTGGAAAAATGTTTCTTACCTACATGAAGTAGATACCAACACATAGCCACACATGCAGACTTTAAAAATGTATCATTAGCTACACGAAGTATTGTCATTATATGGTGACATCCACGAACTAACATAAGTCATGTTGCAAACACCATAACCATCATATTCTGGTGTACTACTTGCCGGAATTCCATAACCTCCGGTATTGACTTAAAAAAATATTTTAAAATATTATTTAATTTTATTTATTTTTGCTAAATAATTAAAAGTAATTACATAATTATTTTTAAAACAGCAAAAATAATTACATAATTTAGCTTAAAAAAAAGAGAAAACGGGGAACACTGCTTCATCTTCTTCCTTCCTCCCTTCCAAAAATTTCAAGAACATCTCTATTTCATTATGTTTAAATCAGGTTTCAAGAAGAAGATGAGGAAATCGAAAATCACTAAATCCGGGTTTAAGAAGAAGAAGAAGAAGAAAAAGAAGATGAAGAAGAAGGCAAAGAGAATATGCATAAGAAGAACCCAGATTTTGTTAGGAAACGGATGTGTTTGTGTTTTCCTAAATTTTTAATCGGTTCCTTTGTTGAATTATAACGAAAATTTCAATTAGTTGTCAATTTATTAGAGATTTTAGGGTTTTGTGAATTTGGGGATTTTAAAGGATTCACAACAAGATCTCATCGGAACCACAATCATCATCACTCAAAAAAGCGAAACTTTGAGACTCAAAATATATGGATTGGATTGATAAGAAACGTAATTAAGAATATGAACACCAAAGAGAAATTGACTCCTTTTAAAGACTATATATAGTCATATGAAGAACAGATTATAAATTGGGATTTTAGAGGATTCAAAAAGCTCAAAGATTTTCCAGACTAGATTTTGTACCCGCGCGTTGCGCGGGATTTTAATTTTAAAATCTTTTCTATTGATATAAAATTTGAGCATAAAATATAATCAATTAAATTTAAAAGATAATTTTTTGAGCATAAATATAATAATTCAAATTTTAAACACTAAACTTATTTTACACAGCGATATATAACATATATATTATCGACGATAATATTTCTTTGACAAATAAATAATTTGATATATATTACATGGTAACAAAGATCACTTAAGATAATCCCACAAATAATAAACGGTATCAACACTCTCAAAGAGTTTATTTCTTATTCATATTCCATGAAGGTATTTCTAAAAGTTTTGATATTAATTATCGACTGTTGATCTAATTGTAGATATTATTTATGATTAAATGTTGATACGAACATAACATCATTCCATATAAAATGTGAATTTACCGAGTTTCATGTTGCTACGAACATAACATCATTCCATTATTTAGTGTAAAAGTACATCTATAATACCATGTTGCTAGAACCAGTTTAGCGAGTTTGATTTACCCATCAAAGCTAGTGCAACAATAAGAGAATTTCCGACTAAGTCATCAATGTGCCTATCTTATTTTACTTTCCATGATTACATGGCCAAACGGTTAAACCCAACTTTGAATCTAATAATTTGTTTAATAATGTATGTCATGTATTTTCTAAGAACTCATTCGTTTCACACAATGAATGAGATCTCAAAGATACATTAGTCATGTGCATTATCTTTCTAAAGTTTTAGAAATTTATTTTCAAACTCTTTTAACTACCAGTTCTTTCGTCATCTTCTATGATGCAATCGTTGCCTCTCGACATCTACGTTCTTTTTACCTTCTATTGACTCACACATAATATATATTGGACTGTGAATTGATTTTCAAGACATATCATAACTATCTTTTCAATATTTCATTGATGAAATATCAAACTTAGTTTTTTCTGTTCTGTTATAAAGTTGTACTTCCACTTGAGAATATGCTACACAAATTACATATCACTTTTTTTTAATGGCTTACATTTATTTTTAATATATTTTATTGTAAAACTCATGAATACTGTGATCACTGATTATTTATTTTTTAAAAGATGGATGATAAGGTTTTAAAATTTTCAAGATTTTTTTTTTATAATTTCACAAGATTAAGTTTGCATCTTACAATATTTTCTTCTTAAATTATAAATTTAAGTTGAGTTTAGTAATTTTTTATTTTTCTTTAAGTAAAAATTTAATAATAACTAAAAATATGTAGTATATTGTTCTTTGAAACTAATATTTTACTTTGAATTTTATTTTCTTGTTTAAAGTTTTACATATAGAATTACATAAATTTACTTCCATCCTAAAACTCATTAACACATTTAAAATTTTGAATACTGACCATATTTAATTTTTATCATTTAAAAGTTGAATTATATTAGTCTTACTTATAAAATTTTTATAGTATTATTTTATTATTTTAACATTTTATTTATTTTACATAATTCGTTTTTTATTTATTTAAAATTTATTATTTCTATTAATTACAAGTAAATGCATTAAATGGATGTTTTAAATTGATTTTAATGTAAAATAAATATTATTGCTTAGGTGGATGCTTAGGTGGACACCCTAGATGGAGAGAAGACTCTCTAATCCCAATGCGCGGGATTTTACTTATAAACTATTAACAATATAAGCCGTGAATATAAATATATATATATATATATTCAATTTTAAAAGATAAATATATAATGACATAAACCTATTTATGAAATGATATATAACATAGATTTTATTGAGAATAATGTTTCTCTTGGAAAAAACAACAAATTTTTAGGTAACACGTGGTAAAAAATTAGTTGAAAAAACAGAGAAATATAATACAATCTCGACCATGTCATGTTCATACATCTTTTTGAATTTAGTCGATTTCTCTTGAAATTATTTCGCTGTCATTTTATTCGTCATATTCTAATATGCAGTCGTCCACCTCGCGACATTTTATCTCTTTTCACGTTCTTTTCGTTAAAATAATTGATTAAATTTTTGATTCATTATAAACTTATATTAAAATTATATTCTCTTTATCTATTTCATTTTTATATTTTATTTTTTCTTGTCTAT